TTTTCTGACCGTGATTTTGGGGATATAACGTAAAAAATTAGAAAAAAATTACCACTAAAAGTTCTATTTTCTGAAAAAAATTATATAACGTAATTATTATAATAATAATAACAAATTATAAAATGATCCCTAATCTTTACAGAAATTACAATTTTAGTCCATATTTTCCATGATCTTCACTTTGTTATCATTATGTTTTATCTTTTTACCTTCTTAGTTAGGATGTATACTTTTTTGTTTTTAATCCCCTAAAATACGAATCTGATAATCTGATACACACACATCAATTTTTTATGAATAGAAAATTTTACCCCTTTCGTTTTCTAATTAGTTTCCCCCCTCCCAAGAAACCATCCGAACAATCGGTACAATCGACACAACAACTCCCGCCACCGCCCCTACTCTACCAGTTACCATCGTTCCCGTTGCATCAACATCGCCATGGATTAGCAGTTCTTCGCTCTTCCTCCAAATTCCAACCCCAAGAGAACTCCTCATTCGACTAGGTATATGCTTTTTCTTTTATTATGTTACTTTTTAATAAATTTCAAATCAACAGTTGAATTTTGCTTGGAGAATCTTGTAATTCGTTGTTTTGATTCATCCAAGTCCATGTCCATGATATAGTTTGCTAAAATTAAGGTTAGATACTAGTAATGGATATTAATATCATCATATTTCCTTTTCATATCCCTTTAGAAAAAGGATAAAGAATGTCCATACAAGTTAATAAACTATTTGATTCGGTAGTAGTCATATTATCTATTTTCAACAGGGCATTGTGTATATAGATGAAGTTGAGAAGATTACAAAGAAGGTTTTACTTTTGCTTTAATTTATTCACATGTCAAGGCTCAAGCTTAGCATAATGATGAATTTTATAATAATGTTTCTTAATATCGTTTTTTCACAGGATAAAAGTGATAACATTATTAGAGATGTTTTTTGGTGAGCATGTCTAATAGGCATTATTAAAGATGCTAGAAGGGACTGTATGTATATTCCTTATATCCATTGTATTAGTCTTATTATGTCAGAATAATGGAAAGTTCGTTAATTTTGTTAGAATTGACCTTTATACATGTAGTCGATGTTCCTGAAAAGGGTGCACAGAAACATCCTAGAGGAGACAACATTTAGGTGATGTTGAGGCTTTTATTTATCACTTTTTCCATCAGGGCCGGTGGGTTAGACTATGACTCAAAAGTCCTCCTGGGTTTCTATGATTGATAGATTTCGTTCCAAGCTCTCTAATTGGAAGGCTAAGAGTCTCTCGTTTGGAGGTCGCCTTACTTTGGTGAAGTCTGTCTTGGGCTCTCTAGGGAGTTACTTGATGTCTGTTTTCCTTGCTCCTATTTCGGTTTTGAAGGATCTTGAAGGTTTGAGGGCGAGATTTTTTTGGGGTGCTGATAGCGATGATCGTCGTATGCATTGGGTTAGATGGGATAGAGTCTTAGCCTCCAGAGATGAAGGAGGCTTGGGGATCGACAGTCTTTTCTCTTTCAACAGAGCTATGATTTTTCGGTGGTGGTGGAGGTTTTATCACTGCCCCGATCTTCTGTGGGTTAGAGTGATAAAATCTATATATGGTTTGGATGGCGCTTGCAGGAATTTGAGATATCATAATTCTGGACAAGGATCTTGGGGAGGGGTCATTCGCATGTTCTCCTAGTTATGTCAGAAAAATATTGATCTTCAATCTCTATGCCCTATTAGAGTTGGTGATGGTACTCGTACTTCTTTTTGGCATGATGTTTGGAGAGACGATATGCCTTTATCTGTCTCTTTCCCTAGAATCTATGTGCTGGATTTGCATAGACATGATTCTATTACAGACAGGTTATATTTGGGATTGGGGGTTAATACTCTTAGACGTAATCCTAGAGGTGGAGCGGAACAGGAGCAGTGGAATAAACTTATTTGTCTTATGCAGGATTTCCAACTCAGGCCGGTTCCAGATAGACTGGGTTGGGTTATTGATGTGTCAAACAATTTTTCTATTTCTTCGGCTCGAAAATTTTTGGATGGTTTTACTCTTAGTAACGGAGGTATTTCTACTCGTTGGAATAATTGGGTTCCAATTAAGATTAATATTCTTATTTGGAGGATTAGATTGTCTAGTATCCCTACTAGAGAGCGCTTATCCTATAGGGATATCATGGTGGATTCTATTCTTTGCCCTGTTTGTTCTTCTAGAGTGGAGACCGTTGACCATATATTTGCTGAATGTGCTGATTTGAGTGTTTTATGGTCCCGTATTGCGATTTGGTGGGGTGTTAACTGTCCTTCTCAGTTGACTGTGGATTCTCTTTTCAAATGGGTTGATACTACCATCTGGCGTATTGGTCGGCGCAAAGCTTTTGATGTTGTGATCTTGACTGCCTTCTGGTGCATTTGGAACTTCAGGAACGGTGTGATTTTCAGAGCGGATACGCCTAAGAAATCTATGATTTTTGATGATGTTGTTCATAAATCTTATGTTTGGATTTCTAGCAGGTGTAGTAAAGCCAAGATTAGTTGGTCCTCTTGGCTTCATAATCCTTTTTCTACTACTATTTTGATGTAATTCTTTTTCTAGCTTCTTGCTAGCTTAATTTTATTCCGCCGTTCCAAAAAAAAAGGATATTTGTTACAGATTGATACCAAAGTCATCTTGTTTATTTGTACAGGTGCCTTTATAGATCTTGAAAAAACCATTTCAAAAAGGTATCAATTACTAAGTACTCTTTGGTGTTCCTATATCGTATTATAAATATAATATTATTCTAGAATTTTCAAGTACACACATTTTATTTTCAGATGCCAAGATTCTTCTATTGACTTCGTCTTTATTGGAGACTGTAAGTCCCTTTTCTTCCATAAGTGTATGTGTCTGGATATAGTGTTCGATGGGTGGATTTGGTTAGTGTTTGTTTATGTTTGTTAGGTTGGAAGTAGTGATCTTATTGCATATGGTCTGATACCTGAATTTGTCGTATGGTTTCCAATTTTTGTCAATTTATTAGCTCTTACAGAACGTCAATTTGTCTAGGTACATTTTCATTAGTGGTAGGCATTAAGTGGCTTTAATATGTCTAGTTATTTTTGTTCTCATTAAGTGTTGTATGACTAAAGTAAAGTGGATGAATAAATAATAATTTTTATAGGTGCTAACTAATCCAAAGAATCTGTTAGGGAAACAATACAAGAAGTTATTTTAGATGAATGAAGTAAGTATTCTTTCATCTCAACACATTTACTAATGGAAAATGTTGGTAATTGTGTACTATTATTATTATTTACAGGTTAACATACATTATACAAAAAATGCTTTGAGATTAATTACAAGAAATGAAATAACTAAGAACATTGATGCTCATGGTTTGAGGGCCTTATTGGAAAATAAATTGACGGATGACATGTATGAGGTTTGTATCTAAACTCTTGTGCCTAAAATAAAACATTTTTATTTTTATCAAATGATAGAATGATAATTTATGAATGTATTGCAGATTCATGATGAGAGAACATGTAAAGAATAATAGATGGTGTGGTAGTTAATGAGGAGACGGTTGGAATTGAAGGACCATGTTGTGGTGCAAAAATCCTCCATGGGCAAGATTCTCTTGCCCATTATTTATCATAACATTTCAGGTAACTTAAAAGGTTACATACTATTTTTATTAATTTAAAATTTAAAATTGCTCCAAAAGATTTACGGTTGTATTTCTATGTATAGATGAGCATGGATAAGGAGGAAGATGGTGGAGATAAGGCGGAAATGGAGGTGGAGTTGAGGCAGAACTGGGGGTGAAGGTGGAGGAAAAGGCAGAGTTGTATTTTATTGCTGCCATGTAAATCATAGGATGTATCACCATGTGTATGTATAATACAATATGTACTAATTTAAGCTCTAATAAGAAACATTAATTTAATAATTAAATTATATTGGATGCTTTCATCATTTTCAAAAAAAGTGGGGTTGTCATGATTTTTGACACATAAAAAAGTGCAACAAAATATTTTTTTGTATTGTGGCAAATAAAAAAGTGCCACTAAAAGTAGCATCAATTCTTGAATCAAATGGGCATTTAGTGGCACAAAATATGTGTCACAAAAAACTTTTCTTCTATTGTGACAAACAAGAAATGTCACTAAAAGCATAAAAACTGCAGCGACAAAAACAAAAAGTACCACTAAAGGGTTTTAGTGGGAGCGTTTCTAGTGGCACTTATTATGTGTGTAGCTGATTAGCCGAGAAGCCTTTAGAGTCATTTTTTTGAGTTTTTAATGGCACTTTTTGTATGCCACTAAGGCTTATTTTTTGTAGTGAGTCCAAAATAGAAGTATAAAACCATAAATAAATAAAATATATTAACATATTTATATGCATTTATTTTCCATATTTTTAAGAGCAGTAAACTACAAACCATGATATCACAATACACAAGGGTAAGGAAGACTGTAATTCCAACATTTAGGTCTCTCTCAAACGAGTGGACCCGATTCGACCGGAAATTTCAAGGTATACCCTGAAGTTGAATTTGTATCGTGAATAAGAAATTTACATGAATAGACATCCATATAAAACTAATGAGATTCTTGATTAAATTATACCTGAAGTATACAGCTCACCTACCTCCAAGAAACTTCCAAGAAAAGAAGAGGTTTTCAATTGGGAACCTTAATGGAAAAACAGAAGAAGATAAAAAGAGCTGAAATTGGTATAACTCTTGTTTTATATGTTTAATATATATCACTACATTTGACCTTTAATAACTCTAAAATATCAACACCTCTAATGGTCGAGAGGTTTAACCACTATTAAAAAAAAAAAAAAATGATTGAGTGTGAAATTTACAAATTGATTACATATTTTCTTTGAGACAAACAGGAATCATTATCTTTAAAGTTGTCGATATTCACATCATCAATCTTTATATATGTTGTACCTCCAAAGGAGTTCCACCCCATCTTCAAAATCAGAGACGCACACTTAATTAAATATTATCAAGAAAACGATGCAGCCAGAAGAGCTTCAATCATTTCTTGAACATGACTTTCATCAAGCTGGATTATATGGTCCGAAAATGGCTTCTTCTCCTTGTGATGTACATGACTTCTACTCCTCTATCACCTCCCCAGAGGACTCCATGATCTCCTCAGAATCGTACTTTCAGACCATGTCCTCTTGCAACTTTAGCACTTTATCTAATTTGGATGACGATATGCAAGTATTGGTCCCTATTGAGAATATTTCGCAACATGTCCTAGGGATTGAAGGTATTTCAGGCAATGAACTTGAAGATGTATTGAGATGGTGGGGTGAAAGTGAAGAAATGGACAATATTTCCTCAGAAGATTCCATGCACAACGTAGGTGTCTATGGTAGTCCATTTACAAAATCCAGTGACACCACAATGATGTTGCCACCCGATGACATGGAAGTTGAAGGTGAAACAAGCTTTTATCATCTACTCAATGCTTATGGAGAAGCCATGGAGATGGGACAAATAGAACTAGCAAACGTGATTATTGGATGCATAAACGAGAAAGCTAGCCCACTAGGTGGAACCATGGAACGTGTTGCATTCAACCTGTTTCATTCAGGAGCACAAGGCGACTACATAAAACAGGAGTCAAAGAAGAATTTCAATGCAGCATTTAAAGCTTTCTACGAAATCTTCCCCTATGGGAGATTTTCTCATTTTGCAGCCAATTCAGCTATTCTTGAAGCAATCATGAGCAATTCACGGAAGATACACATCATAGATTTTGACATGGGTGAGGGTGTTCAGTGGTCTGCAATGTTCGAGGCTATTGGAAAGCTAGGAAAAGACACTAAGTTGACATCCATTAGAACTAAAGAGCAAAGTCACAGTTTTGCGGAGACAAAAATTCGGCTTCTAAATTGTGCAAGTGCTTCCAAGTTAAAGTTAAAGGTCCAAGAGATGACGATTGAGGATTTGATGAAAGAGATTGAAGGATCACAAGAGTATGAATTCTTGGCCTTCAATTGTATGGTTGGACTACCACACATGGGAAGGACAAGGAATAGATGTGAAGTGATGGAGTTTCTACGGGTGGCAAAACAACTATTATTGATGAGGGAAGGAATTATAATCTTTGGTGATGGAGAAGATGTTGAAAGAACAAAATATTGTGGCAATTACAGTTCGTTCTTCAATGAATACTTAATGCATTACTATGCGCTCTATGAGTCAATGGAACAAAACTTCCCAGAGAACCTTACAGAAGCAAGAATAGCCATGGAGTCGCTTTTCGTTGCACCATATGTTTCATCTCTCTCTTGGCATCAAAAGTGGGAGAATATCAGGGAAGAAGGTGAATTCAAAGAAAATCTTGGGTTAATGGGGTGGAGGCTGAGCAAAGAGAGTGTGATTGAAGCTAAAGAAATGGTAAAGGAAAGTCAGAGCTCATACAATATTAGGGTTGAAGGAAAAAATGGGAATGAAATGGTCCTGGAATGGAGAGGAACTCCATTGGTAAGAGTTTCTTCTTGGGGATATAAAAGATAAAGGAAAGAGAAAACATTCTCTTGTGAATAATTTAGCAAAGTACTCATCCTGGAACTTCATTGGATATAACTGTATAGATTGATCATCTGATTATGTAAAAGAAGCATAAATTTCAGCTCTAATAAATTTGTGAAGCAAAGGTATATTATAAACATGATTACAAGTAAATTAGAGATGCAAGGAGGGTCAAAAGACACCCATCTTGTATGTTTACAATATTATATATTCTTACAGGTCATTGATTATTTCCCACATAAAGGGGAAGAACTTAACTTTCTAACCCACAAGAGTTGTTGTAACCATTAGAGAGTTCTAATAAAAGAAGTTCCAACCCAACTCATCTTTGATGTTTAAGGATGTCCTATCCAAGCTAGAAAACTCAACAAAGGCAATTGCACTCATTTGCGTATATTCGTGTTTGTAATTTTTGTCCTGGATGTTAATTAAGAATGAATATAACAGCAAACATATCTTATCTACAAAATCCTTCATAATCTTATCTATTAATTATTGCAATGCAGTTGGATGATTCATCTAATGTGTTTATATTAGATAATGTTATTAAAATCCAAGAGGAAGATACTAACCGACTTTGCTAAGTTGCTACTTGCTACCCTTTATTTTCAACGAATTTAGACTTTTGGAGTTTGGTTGCTTGTTTTTGGATTTTGGAGTGACGGATTAATCTTTGGTATTCAACACAACCAAATTCATGTTTCTAAGGAACCTGGAGACCAATTCAGCAATCCTTTGATTTGTTGAAACCAGTTATCCTTTTTCCGTACGCAATGAGATAAACCACTCAAAAACCATCACCTTTGTTGATATAAAAACATTACGTTTATGAATACAATTTTAGTGCATATATAGACGATGACACGATGTATAGTATGGCCCATGTTTAATGAGTCGATTATTGTAGTGATTCATCAACTAGAACGAAATGTGTTTTTATTTTTGAGCTAGTTAAATGCAAGATATACATGCTTATCATAACATCCTACTTTCATTTTGTCTTACTTATAGTGTTGTACTTTCAAAAATGTTCCAAATTATGGCATAATAAACAAATACATGAAACTACATTGCTATGTTTGTATTTTTTTTGTGATCATTGATTCTGGTGTGTTGAAACATGAACAATTGGCGGCCTTTGATTCAAAACTCAAATTGAAGAAAACGGGTCGACCTTTATCAACTCGACTCAACTCACCCGGTAAATTTCCAAGTAATCCACCAAATAATTCTCAGTTTTATGTTTGTAAGCACTTAGTTAAACATTTGTGGTTGACACTTTTAATGTGTATTATTAGACACATTTAATGTAGTATTAGACAATGTTAGTAATATGTATTTGTATTTGATATTTTTTTAGGTTTATTAGTTTTATTGTAAGGTTATTTGTTTGTGGTTGAATTTCAATATTATGATAAGTTTAATGTAATGAGGTTTTTTTATATATTTTGGACAGAAAAAACTGGATTTTTTTTATAATTTTTTGCTGTTTTGTTTTTAATAAAAAGTAAATACCTACGGAAAATCCGTAGGTAATGTCAGCCGTAGGAAATCCGTAGGTAATAAAGTCAATGTTAGTCAAAGTGGGATCCGTCAGTAATTCGTAGCAAATCCTTAGCTATCTATTTCCGTAGCTATTCCGTAGGAAACTAGTCAACTTTAGTCAAACTTGACTCCTGTCACTAATCCGTAGGGCATTCCGTAGCAATTCGTATTCGTAGCTAATATGTAGGTATTATACCTACGGAATAGGTCGTAGCTATTCCGTAGCAAATCTGTAGGTATAAATTTCCCACGGGCATTTAAGCTACAAGCCATTTTACGTAACAAATCCGTAGGTATTGCCTTATACCTACTGAATACCTACGGATCGTGCCGTAGCTATTGCCCTAGTTTCTAATAATGATAT